TCTCTCTCTCTCTCTCTCTCTCTCTCTCTGTCTCTCTCTGTCTTTTAGGATTGGGCTCAAAAATCATAGAATGCACAATCAGGAAAGATTAATCAACCCATGATTCCTAACTTCCTGTGTTTTGCTGAAATCATCAGTCCAACCCTGCCCATTTAAAAAGTACCATTCATTTAGGGAAGTGATGGTAATAAACAGTCGCCTTCATCTTTTCCAAGCAAAACTTTATTTCAAAATCAGTTGGCAAATCTTTTTGTTAAAATACTTATAGTTTCAGAAGGATTCATGTTTTGTCTTTGTGTATAAAATGCAGAATGAAACCAACAATAATAATTAACTCCTTTCTACATAACTTGTTGCCCGGATTTTGGCTGGAATTACTATTTTTAAATGAAGCATTATCTAGGAGTTTGTATTTAAGATTTGAAAGTGTTTTGGTGGCTTAGTAAACAACTGAACAATTAAGATATCGAAATAATTTTTTATTGCTATGGTAGAATTGGCCCTTAAGAAATTTCCATTCTATACGTAATAATAATAGCATTTATATCGTTAAAGTGCTTTATAAATATCTCATCTAAGCCTTACAAAGCAAGGTAGGTACTATTATCTCCATTTTAAAGTTGAGGAAACTGAAGCAAAGGTTAAATGACTTGCTCAGGGTCACAGCTAGTAATCAATTTAATATCTTGGCACACAACATGTATACATGTGATTTGATACAAAATATATACAGAGTTAATAAAAGGAAATTTCCAAGAGGATGGGAGAGGAGAAGGGAGTGGGTAGGATTGGAAAAGACCTCGTGTAGGAAGTGGCACTTCTATCTTAAAGGAAGATATATATCTAGGGCAGATAGGTGAGAGGGAAGTGCATTCTAGGAACTGGAGTGGTGGCAGTTTTAGGACATAAGGTTGTGTGTGAGTTAACTGTAAGTAATCTCATTTGATTGTATGTGATGGGAGTAATGTGCAGTAAGTCTGAAAATACAGCCTGGACTTTTAAATGCTAAACAGAGGCATTTGTATTTTATCCTAGAGGTGATAGGGAATTTCTGGAACTTTTTTTTTTATGTTTAAGTTTTTTTTTTCTAATTTTTAGTGAGGCAGTTGGGATTAAGGGACTTGCCCAGGGTCAAACAGATAGTAAGTGTCAAGTGTCTGGTCTGAGATCAGTTTTGAACTCGGGTCCTCCTGAGTCCAGGGCCAGGGCTCTATCCACTACTCCACCTAGCTGCGCCTCCCCCCCTTCTTAAAGAGAGGAGTGAAATGGTCAGATTTACTTTAGGAAAACTCACTTTTGGCATCTGTGAAGGAATATTATCAAATATACAAAACTACTTTAGAAAAATTCAATTTACCTAAAAATTTTAGTTTTTAAATCTTTTAAAAGTACAAGAATATGAATTATTTAAGTGCTCTTTCTTTATAAGCGGTAGTATTTGTTGTCTCCATTTTATAGATGAAGCAACTGAAAGAGATTTGTGGTAACATCCCTAGGATTGAACCGCGTTACTTCTGGATTCTAATCTCATTTCTTGGTCTGTCTCTCAAATTATTTTTTTGATATTTCACAAGGTTTCCAGCCTCCAATGGATGACTACATCTCAGGTTTCTATCATCAGTTTCTTTTGTGAATAAGTTGAACTGAATGGCTCCTGACGTCCCTTCCAACCCAAATTCTGTGATGTTGTAATCATTTTACCAGTCAAATTTATTTCGCAAGTAAATAAAAATGATTATTAAAAGACTTGATCCAGTAATACGTTTATAGGAAATAAATTCTAATGAACCCCTACAATGGATGTGGTATGTACAAAAATACAGTACAACTGTTTAGACCATTCCCTTTCCTCCTAGTGTTGTTGACTGAGCAGTCAGCATGGTTTTCATTAGTTCTAGCTGGTTTGCTTATTCAGCAACAAAGCTTAATAATTGTTCTAAAAGCTGCTTCTATCTCTCAAATCTCCTGGCATATCTATTAACTTTTGCTGTTAGTTTATTATTTATTGATGGCACTATAAATATATTTAAGCTGAATTATTTTATAAAAGGATTAATCATAAGAAACTTTAAAAAATTTATATTTAAGAATAAATATGCTAATTTATTTCAGGTTTGGTTTCTGGTACCTAAGCAAGATCTAGAAATCTATAAATGCCTGATTGGATCTCTGAAACGGCATTGCTTAACTAGACATACATGCTTTTCGGAGCCATCTCTTGTTTACTGAGTTCTAATTTAGCCCTAATGATGTAATCCTGCCAAGAAACAATGAAAAATACACAAAGACAATTCTTCATTATGCAGACTATCTTTTTCCTCTCCAACACACTGATCATGCTGTACTATTTTCATGTTAAACTGTGATGTCTATATAGAATTTAATAGAAGAAATAGTGATGGAAGAGAGCAAGAGCTTCTCTAAGGTCCCTTCCAGATATAATCATATAATTCTCTGAACCTTGTGAAATATCATTCCATAGGACTCGTTAGGGAATGTTCTCTCTCCCTTCGAAATCTGAACCTTCAAGTAGCGGTACATATTCCAAAAGCAGTGCTCAACAGCTGGTCCTTTAGCATTTTTTTCTCTTTTTACCAGTAGAATGTAAGGCCATTTCATTAATTAGACAATTAAATAAGTGAGAATATGAAGCTAATACATGTAGACCTCAGGAGTAAGGAGATGCTAATATTAGCTGGTAATTCAGAGCATAATTTATTATTTTTGGCATTTCTTGAGGTTTTATTCATTTTAAATTGTAGTTTTTCCCTTATTCTATTTTTTTTAAATAAACAGCCAACTGCCAATAACATTGAGAAGCAAAGCCTAACTAAAGATGGTAATAAAACAACTTCATTTTTGTATGTAGTTTAGTTGTAAAGGATAGTATAGCTATGGACTCTGGATCTGATAAAAATATCCCCTTCTTTTTTCTTTGGAAAATGGGTCTCTTGATTTATTTGGGTGATTATGATCATTTTTCTGTAAGCACTTTGCAAATTTGAAGTACTAAAATAACACCACATTTATCTAGAATCTGCAGGAGGTCTTCCACAAAAGTGAATTTTCTATTGAAGCTTATTCTTTAAAGGTTAAAACTTTTTAAAAATTTGATTTTTTCATCCAAGGAAATCTTTTAAAAATCTATTGAGCACTTAACTGCCTTAAAGAATATGCTTTATGTAATTTAGGGGATAGGAACTATTATTATGCTATGCAAGTATTGCATAATACTGTCTTAAGGGGCTATTGACCTATTAAAAAATATTCCTATACTAAAATAGACCCGTACAATAAAAATACCTTTTGAATTACTGTGTCTGTTTTTATAGTTCTGACGCCTCCCTCTTTTAATCTTCTCTCCTACTTTTAGTTGTGCTTCCTTTTGTCAGCCACTACTTGTTTTCCCTCCAGCTTTCTAATTTTTTGCCTCTTATTTCCTGTACTAATGTACTTACATCATAAAATAGAAAATAGAAACTTATAAGATGACGGTGAAATAAAAATATTTTTAAAGTAATTTTTCATTTTAACAGTAAAAAACTTTTTATTCTAAAATTACTACTAATAATATTTTCTTAGTGAGAGCAATATAATTCATTATATGCTTCATTATTTTGGAATATTTTGGTATAACACTTTGAGATACAACCTTTTGAGGGTTTAATTCTAAGTTATTCATTTTGATACTTGATTTTCATGGTTGAAAAAGATACCTGACAAAGATACATAGATGGAAATGGAAACAGTGGAAATCTTTATGAATGCTTACTGAATCTTGATACTCATTTTTCAATCCTGTCCACTACTTAATGGATTTTTGTTGAAATTCTGCTGGTAAATTTTCATCTCCCTGATGTTAATCAGTTATTCTTGCAAACAAGTCAGAAGGTGTTACATTTTTGTATTTTTGAAGAATGGATTTGAGACCCCCTGAAACCCTTCATTTGGAAGATTTTTATACAGTTCAGAAAATTCTGTTTCTAAGTTTTTAGGTGTGAAGATGTGAGAGTTTTTTAGGTGACAGTTTTCAGTAACAAAAGCTTAGTTTTTAAATGCCTTGCTAATTAAGATATCTCAAAGAATAAGAAATATTTTAGGATGAGGTTCATCATTAATGGTAATGGATCTCGGGGTATATATATGTGTGTATATACATAGATGTATATTTTTTGGGGGGTGAGGCAATCAGGGTTAAGTGACTTGCCCAGGGTCACACAGCTAGTGTCAAGTGTCTGAGGTCAGGATTTGAACTCAGGTCCTCCTAACTCCAAGGCCAGAGCTCTTTCCACTGCACCACCTAGCTGGCCCTGATTTCAACTAAGCTTAATGATAAGGAATTTTTTGGTTGACTTCTTGTCAGATATGGTTCGATTGTCATTGTCTTTATATTGTAATTTGACTGATGAAGAGCTGGTATTAG